TTATCAGTTGTGTACATTAGGGTTTAATCTTACATCTAATGTTGTTAAATTAATGTTTATTGCATTATTTCAGTATCATGCGTGTCACCATGATGGGGTTTAGTGTTTGTGTGAATGACACTGGTGGTTTTGGTGGTTATCAGTGCATTACAATGGTTCAAAACAGATATTAGTACTTCAATATGTTGGTTTATTAACATTACATCAGTTAATGAAATACGGTATTTTATTGTGAATTTAAGTTAAGTCTGTAAAACCTCAAATGTTGCTACCATATTCTGGCAACCACAGCTGCCGGTATTTTACCGTAAATGTCACAGATTTTTTTTTTTACAGCGCACAATATAACTTGAATGTTTTTGAAAGTCGTCTGCTCACCAAGGCTGCATTTATTTTTTATCAAAAATCAAGTAAAAATTGTGAAATATTATTAAAATTCTAAATTTTTCTTGTGAATATATTGTAAAATGTAATGTATTCCTGTCATGCAAAGCTGAATTACTGCTGTAGGTTAAATGTGAAGTATTTGCTGTTTCCTTTTGGTTTTAATGGTGTACAGTGGTTCATGACTCTCTTACGCTGAATCGCCTGTCTTTCTCTCTGCAGGCAGACTCCATACGTCACGCCATTGGTCAGTCGTTGGGTTACAGCGACGGTCTGCGGGGAAACCCGCTTTACAGCCCACATGGCTTGAACGTGAGTATGACAGAGAAACAAAACAAAACATTTTAGCCAGAATTGCAGATGAGAATGCTTGGATGCTTTCAACTAAATTCTGACTCGAAACAGACTCAAATCCTCAACAAAAGCTCTAGTGTAAAAGTGCATTTGAGACCGAATATTACTGACACACATATGCAATACACACACACACGTGCCGTCTCATGTGGTGGGAAGGAATAATCTCTTCGCAGCAGGTCTCCTGGAGTCATTCAGACAGACGTCGTATGATCAAACCGTCGCTCCACGAGCCGACAAAGACGACAGCTGAGATTAAGTCTGGGAGAGGTGATGCCGCTTCTGTGAAAAGGCAAACGTATGGATTCATATTAATATTCACACATGCACACGGGGCTGTTTGCTGGAATAGAAAGCAAACGCGTTCCATTTCCATTTTCTGAAATGCATCTAATAACACAACGACATGCACGGCTCTTGGCAGTATATCTGCCTTCTTATTGAACCACACTCTCTCTCTTTCTCTCTCTCTTTCTGAGAGAATTTGCAGTCCATTTCCTTATCACTATAATAAAATATGAAACTGGAATTGCCTGCAGCTTTGTACAGATGTGAATAGCGTCTTCCCAGATGAAGTCTGATAAGACATGCTTTATAATGGAGTCGATCTGGAGTCACAGCGTTAAAGGTTCATTTATCTATTGAGGCAGCCATGTCGACTCTCTAATACTGTATACCGGTGTACAGTCCTGAGGTGTGTTATACTGTATATTGTTCAGGTGGAATATGGCCTGGCGGAAAAAGCTGTTCTTGTGTCTGGCTGTTTTGGCACTCAGTGCTCTGTAGCACCGGCCAGAAGGCAACAGTTCAAAGAAGAAGTGTGCTGGGTGTGAGGGGTCCAGAGTGATTTTACCAGCCCTTTTCCTCACTCTGGAGGTGTAAAGTTCTTGGAGGTTAGGCAGGGGGGCACCAATAATCTTCTCAGCAGTGCTGACTGTCCGTTGTAGTCTCTTGATGTCTGATTTGGTGGCTGAGCCAAACCAAACAGTTATAGATGAACACAGGACAGACTCAATGATGGCCTAGCAGAACTGTGTTTAAGCTGTTTCCCAGTTTAAGCTGGCTTTAAGTTTAAGCTGACAAGTGTCCAAAAAGCTTCTAAAACCATATACATGGACCAGCCTAACCAGACCAGGCTGGTTTAAGATGGATTTTGTTTCAGCGTGGCAACCAACAGTTAAGATAAAATAGATACAAACAGAGCAAAAAATAAATAAATTAATTAATAAAATCTGTCAGTAAAGAATAGCACTTTTAAATGTTTACACTAAATAAAACTAAATTAAATTAATTAAAATTAAATTTTAAATGTATCTAATTTATTTGCACAAGTATGAGAAATCTTTTTCACCATGTAAACACAAACAAAAAACAGCTTAATCCAGCATATGGTTTTGTGATTTGCTGGTTTTGCCTGGTTTTGTCTGTTTTCCCAGCTGACAAGTGTCCAAAAACCTTCTAAAACCACATTAATAGACCAGCCTAACTAGAACTGGCTGGTTTAAAGGGGTCATATGATGCAATTTCAAGTTTTCATTTCTCTTTGAAGTGCATTTTACGGAAGACTGTTTCCTGAACCTGGGAGAGTAGCCTACAATGCCGTCTGCGCACAAAGGCTGTTTCTATACAGTGGGGCAATTCCAACTTTGCAAGGACAGTCTGGCGCTTCTGACTCACAGTCTGTAAGTACATTTTCTTATTTAAAGAATTTGCCACTGATGATTCAAGCGCTAGTTTTGAGCAGTGTAGAGCAGCGCTTGACATGGTTTTATGTTTAAGCGGCGCGATACGCAACGCAACGCGTAAAAAGACAGTATAAGTCATTATAATCCATAATTATGTCCCCACTCACCCCTTTAAGCTAGATTTCGTTTCATCAGTTTAGTTAAAAAGGATACAAACAAAGAATCTTATCTGATCCTACCCTTAAAAATCAATACCGGCTAATGTTTCCATTCTGACTTTAATTGAACGTGTCAAATGGTCTTTTCCGTGTCTGTTTTCAGGGTAACGGTGGCTGGCATGATGCTGTCACTCCGTCTTCTGTGACATCTCCTATAGAGGGAGCAAACAGCGTTCACTCGGATACCTCGAACTGACCAGGCCTGCCGTCTGAAGTCCCTTAACTAACCCACAGGACAACCAACACCACCCAACAAAATCTCAGACGAGAACTTAGAGAGATGATTGAGATAATGAAACAGACTCTTACACGCTTACTTTGACCAAAAGAGCACCACTTTGCAAAAATGAACTGATAGGATTGACGGTACCAGTTTTCTTTCCAAAACTGGTGATACCTCAATAAACATGCCCAACATGTACGATTGTGGAAACAAGGGATGCTTTTGTCATAATCTCTGTGAACATCTTTGAATACGTTTAAAAATATATCATGATTTAAATTTACTTGTAACACTGTCTTATTGCACAGTACAGTATGTTCGTTCTTAAAGCCGATTTTTCTCGTACAGATCAACAACATTGATTTTTAAATTGTATATTTAATGATTTAACTTGAGCATTAATGTTATTCATCCTAAATATCACTTACATTTTGGTTTTACTAAGACTTTAACAAATTATGACATATGACATCAACATTGCAGCCATGCATATTCAGATTCATATTCAGCTGTAGGGTTCCAGAAGTAAAATGCCACTGATAATCTCCATAAAGAAATGGATTTTTGGCAATAATGTACAAACTGTTGATGTGTACTGTATGAAGTGATTTTATATATTTTTGTGAAACCAATTAGTTTGTTTCAGGTCCAGATTTGCTTAGAAATCCAATGTCTATGGAGAAACAGAGTGACAAATATTTACATAATTTATCAAATTATTTTATAACACTTCCTACTAAGCATTGCTGTTAACAGGGAGATAATGCAAACCAAATTTTAATTTGATAATGGCATATAAACGATTATACATAATCAGCACACACACTGTATCTGTACATAAAAAAAGCATTTTTTAATGTTATTCTTTTCTTACTAGATACATTTGAATTCTTCATTTTCTGTAAGACAGGCTACACTGATTCCTTTTAAGTTTGCTTTAATTTTATATTCATCAGTTCATTTGGGTAGTTTATAATTTGCAATGCCATTTTGAGAGGTTGTAATATTAAAAAAAAAATGTAACAGAATTAACAGAATTTAGACTGAGCAACTGAGAAGAATATTTCATGTAATATTATTAGTTTTTGAAAAAAGGAAATACTTGTGTTTCTGGCCAAAAAAGTGTTTCAATAAACATTTCGAATTGAAATTCTTACCAGCTCATGCACGACCACTAACTGGATGCTCATTTTTAGCGTTTTTTTTCCCATTCATGTTTTAATACAAAAATTAGGACATACAGTACACTGACTGTTACAGAAGTTTTCTGTCTTGCTAAAGCGTTACAAATGGCATTGTCTTTGTTCGATGTTCAAATGTATTTATGCAATTACTTTCAGACGCAATGAGACTGAATCTTAAGGCGAGACACTACAGACAAAATCATGTTCCTTCTTTTTCGTGCTCCAGTCAATTTTGAGATTTTAGGTTACTTTGCTTCCATAACGTCTTTATTAGACTATTAGAAAGAAAGAAACATCCAAAATGCACATTTTAGAATTTATTTAATTATATTTGATCTATTTACATCTGTATATTTCAATTACAATACGTATCTTTAAAGGCCATTTTCTCTAAATGAGTGTTTTCCTCCACTTCAGCAGCACTTGCATACACCAGACTTAGCAGTTTTATTCCTATCTATATTCTGAAGATTTTTACTGAGGGGTTTGTTCATATATCACTCATGCTGATTTCTATAACATTTTACTCCTAAAACACGGGGTGAAATTGCATATCTTTGAAGGCCGTGAGTTTCTTTCTCAATTTCAGCAGCACTTACATACACCAAAACTTACAGTGTTATTCCTATCTATATTCTGAAGATTTTTACTGAGGGGGTTGTTCATATATCACTCATGCTGATTTCTATAACATTTTACTCCTAAAACACAGGGTGAAATTGCATATCTTTGAAGGCCGTGAGTTTCTTTCTCCATTTCAGCAGCACTTACATACACCAAAACTTAACAGTGTTATTCCTATCTATATTCTGAAGTTTTTTACTGAGGGGTTTGTTAATATGTCATTCACACTGATTTATATATTTACATACATTATTCCTAAAAACATGGTGAAATTGCATATCTTTGAAGGCCGTGAGTTTCTTTCTCCATTTCAGCAGTACTTACATACACCAAAACTTAACAGTTTTATTCCTATTTATATTCTGAATGTTTTTACTGAGGAGTTTGTTAATATGTCATTCACACTGATTTATATAACATTTTACTCTTAAAAAACAGGGTGAAAATGCATATCTTTGAAGGCCGTAAGTTTCTTTCTCCACTTCAGCAGCACTTACATACACCAAATGGGTGCAAATGTCTGTGCGACAGACTGAAGAGCATGCATTTGAATGTCTTAAATACAGTTGTTGATTAGAGTTGGTGGAGTAATTGATCAGCTGACCGTCATCTGATATGGTAGCGATCAGTGGTCAGCCTGAACTACTCTTAAATACTGTTCGGTCACTCAAGCTCTATTTTTATTTTTATCTACAGTATATTCTGAATATATTATTTTTACTGAAGGGTTTGTTAATATATAATTCACAATGATTTATACCTATAGCAGTTTATTCCTAAAAAAACTGGTGAAATTGTATGTTTTCTGGCTGTTGACAGTATTTTATGATTCATGTAGTGATAAAAAGAGATACCAAAAATATCTTCTTTAAAAGCCTTTAAGTCTAACATGTCAACAAAATAAAACAAGATTTTTGAATCTGGTTTTATCAAATGCTCACAAGGAAACAGTACAAGACAGACATCAGTATTTTCCACATCACAGACAACGCAAACAAAATCTAATGTTCAGATTTCTGGTCTGGAAATGCATGCAAATTAGTAAATTTTTAATTAGATAATGCCTAATTTCTGTCTTTAAACATAACATTTCAGAAAACCTGTAATACAAAACAATTGTCTTAATATACTGTGATTAATCAACTGGGGAAGTATGGCAATCTATTAGTTAAAATTTTATTAAGCTGTTCACCTGTCGTGTCATGCTATTTTTTTCCCTCATATTGGTCCGATAAGAATCAGGTAAAACATCTATTGGAATATCAGTTTGTTTTGAATGGCTGTAAATGGAGAAATATATATTTTTGAAGTTACGTCATCTAACCACGTCAACCAGCCAAACCCTTGGCAGTTACAGTGACAAATGAACCAGAATCAACTATCATTTTTATTCCTATTTCTCTAAACATTACCTGTCAAATGTTGTTGATTTTTACACAAAATTTGATTAAAAAGGCAAAATCATTTCTATTTACAAGATAATAACTGGACAGCACTGATTTTTCCCCTAATTAATAGGAATTAATAGAATGCAAATTAAAGGATGCATTAAACTGATCAAAAGTGACAGTAAAGACATTTATAATGTTAAAAAGTTTTCTGTTTCAAATAAATGCAATCTTTTGGAACTTAATCCTGGAAAAAATTTATCACAGTTTCCACAAAAATATGAAGCAGCACAATTGTTTTCAACATTGATAATAATAAGAAATGTTTCTTGAGCAGCAATGATTTCTGAAAGATCATGTGACACTGAAGACTGGAGCAATGATGCTGAAAATTCAGCTTTGCATCACAGGAATAATATACATTTTTTACGAAATATTCAAATAGAAAATTGTTATTTTAAATTGTAATAATATTTCGCAATATTACTGTATTTACTGTTTTTTTTTTAATCAAATAAATGCAACTTTGGTGAGCAAAAGAGACTTCTTTCAAGAACATTAAAAACTGTGTACTTTCCTATAACAGATTATAAACTAAACTACACTTTTGCATTATATGAGCAGTGCTTTCTGTGATTCTTCTTTGTTCTTTTCAGATATAGCTAGAAAGTCAATTTTTTTTCTTCCAATTATTTTATCATCTGCCAGACAGAAGCACTTAGGAAAAGTAAAAATAGCAGCCTACACGTCACCTCAACTAGCCAGATGATTAAAAGGGATAGTTCCCCCTTTTACAATAATGGTGGTTTTAATTTTATTGATTTTGATTGTCTCAATAATACTTGTAAAATTAATTGGCTAAATCAATACCTATCAAACCAGCATCTATTTGGAATGTTGTTCTTCAACTTGTTTTTTTTTTTTTCAAAACTTGGTGGCATTGACTTTCTCCTAATGTGTAATTATGACATATCTAAACTTCCTGTTAAACTTTCCAACTTTCATTGACAGGTTCTCTTAGCATGGGCTTTAATTTATAAACATAATTTTTCACCACAGAGGTACAATAATGGTGGTTTGAATTTTATTGATTTTGATTGTCTCAATAATACTTGTAAAATTAATTGGCTAAATCAATACCTATCAAAACCAGCATCTATTTGGAATGTTGTTCTTCAACTTGTTTTTTTTTTTTTCAAAACTTGGTGGCATTCACTTTCTCCTAATGTGTAATTATGACATATCTAAACTTCCTGTTAAACTTTCCAACTTTCATTGACAGGTTCTCTTAGCATGGGCTTTAATTTATAAACATAATTTTTCACCACAGAGGTGTTTTATTTGGAATAATAAGAATATTTTATTCAAGTACAAATCTCTGTTTTATGAAAATTGGTTTAGTAATGTTTTATTTTTGGTGGAGCAGTTGTTTGATAAGGTCTTTTGTTCAGGTACTCATAATATCTCTCCAAATACCAATAACCCCAAAATAATTTGATATAGTTATGTGAGCTATTCCTTCTGGATTGTGTATGCTTTTTTAAAAACTGTAATCACTCCTCAGAAATTACTGCAACTCTTCCAAACCCTTGTGATACTCCTATTGGTCAAATTTGTTTTTCTGAGTCAAGAGCCAAAAACTATAAAATAAGATCTCTATTTGATTTCGGCCCCACCTGTAATTTCTTTTTGGAATAATTTATTTGATAACCTTAATTTGAAAAGAAAATCTGGTCTCTACAGCAAAAATTCTTTCTCACAAACAAAGTGAAAGAAGTGCCTTTTAAGTTGATCCACAGGATTTATCCTGTCAAGAAATGTATACAAAAGTTTAGAGCTGACATTGAGCTAACATGCTCCTTTTGTTTGATCTCTGATGAAACAGTGGTACACTTATTTTGGTCGTGTTACTGCTCTCAGACGTTTTGGAATTATATTTTTGTTTTTGTCAAGGGTAACATTTTGCCAAGCTTCTCAGTTCATCTAAGACACATTATATTTGGAATGGACATTTTGATTCAGACCCTACAAAAGAAAATATATGTTTTATTATTAATTTAATTGTTTTCTTAAGCAAATTTTACATCAAACTGTAA